CATTTATAGCTTTCTTAGAAGCTAGACTTAGTTTACAGCTCAGCTTATAACAAGCAAGAAGTATTGCAGTTAATAGGATCTGTCCTGGCTAACATTTTCCCTCTCCATCTTTCTCTGCTATTTGATTCTGACTGACACAGCTAAAATTGTAGTGAAGGCAGAACCTGTAAGACCAGGCTTTATTGTCTGAAAGCAGAACTGAATAGTATTCGTCTAACACTCCTTAAAGTGGGTGAGTGCTGAGTGGAAAGCTGCTTACAAAAATGCGTAATTTAGCGTTAAAATCAACTACTGTACTGGAGAGCCTGCATTATAAATACCTTGGTCACTATAGACAATCCTGGAATTTATGGAACAGCTAGCATTGCTAACATGATAATTAACTGAAATAGTACAAAGTGATTCCTGTGATGTTGCAGAAAGAAATCAGAGCGGAATCTGTTCAGGGAAAAAAAGGCCTTTATATCAGAATAAAATATGACCCACTGATTCAGGGTTATCAATAGGGACCAGTAAATACCCTGGAATGTCTAACCAGCTTGAAACCCTACCAGTGCCTGTAGCCAACATTTACAAGTTTCAAAAAAAATACCTACCTGAATGCCTGGCATCCATAAAGTTCTTGCAATTTGTCATTCCAGGTAAAATATTATGTGAAAGGCCCTTTCTGTAGCTAGCCTTGATAAATCCAAGAGCTGTGAAGTATCTCCTTAAACAATGCTTATCACCTATAGAAGATGTGAAACTAACCTTCTGCTGTGTTTTCATTTTCTCATTTGAGAGGAAGTTTCCTGGCTTATTCTGTCATAGGTGTAGGTGGTGTCTGTGCTTGTTTCTGAGAAGCTGATTTCTGACCAGATTGCTGAACTAGCCTCAGGCCCTAATCCACAGTGCAGAATACGGCCCCTATTAGGATACAGTTCTAAGGAATTTCCTTTGGCCAAGGGGGCCACCCCTACTGTAACATGAACCTTTCTCCTCCCAGTGCAAGCAATGTCCTGCTTTAAAAAACAGGGATGGTCCTGCAGGGAAGAGCATCTTTTTGATCCATCAAAGACTGCATTTCATCCAGATATGAAGCAAACACCATGAAGATATGCTGAAGGCTGGTGTTGTGCCAGTGCTCACATTATTTCAGTCATACACACAGTGCTGATGTTTTCTTCTATTGGTCAGACAGATTCTTTCTCCTGGGAAAGAGATGGGCAGGAGAATGTTGACCCCGTTGTTTCCCTGTGTGGCTCTGGAAGCTCTGCTATGGTACCTAGAGTGTTTTCCACTGGATCAGTACAGCACTCACTGAATCAATCTGCAGGCATCTGCAAAATGTGAGCAGAAGGTCTAAGAGGGGCAAGGAAAGAAACCAAACCTTTCCTTTAAGGTGCCATCTGAGGCTTAGGAGATGTGGGGGATCAGGATAAGTGACAGATCTTTACTGTTGATTTAGCTTCAGCATTACACCGTCTCTCTGTAGGTCTTTCTCTGTCCTCTGCTCATGTTGCCCCTTTGTTTTCTCTGTCTAGGATATATGTGTCACGGGGCATGATTACATCTCTCTCTGTGGTCTTACAGGGCTTGGTACTGTGGCAGATCACCCTGGATACTCCCAGTAACAGCTATAAGAAAAACAACTGTGATAGGTTATTTGGCATGTGATTTTGAGGGAGAAACGTGTACAAGAGATTCTAAAAATAACTCATCACCTTATCTATAAACTCTGCAGTATCACTGATAAAAACTCTCTTCTTCCAGAGCACACCCTCAGTTCTTAGGACTGAAATCTCGGGACATTCTTGTAATAATGGCAATAACATTACACTGTTATGAAGGAAGATGCAATTATTGTCCCATTTTTACGTATTTTGGACCAAAAAATTTAACTACTTATCATCGGGACTGAGTTGCCTCTTTGCTGTAAGGTAATGTAATACTATAGAATTATCTCACCTGCGCATCAGTTGCCCAAGTTTCTGTCTGGAAAATGTGTTGCTTTGGCAAAATAAAACCGTGGATTTATACTATAGACATGTTTACAAATACCTAGATCTGTATATATCTGTAAATATGTTAAACATCTATTTCTCATTTCAAAACTTCATAGTAGAAATTATTAAAAAGGTATTTCAGGGAATATATATATTATAGAAATACAGACACACCTGCATTCATCAATATGTAAAAAAGCATTTTCTGTCACGGGTTCAGAAATGCAAGGAATATTACACAGATGGAGAGGCTGATTTATTCCTTCTGGAGCAACTTTAAGGCAGTCTGGATTTCCTCTCCTCTGCTGTTCAGAAACAATGCCAAACAAGAAGTTCAAGAAGACCTATATTAAACTACAGGCTATTGAACTGTCTCCTCTCTGGACTTGACCTGGGTTGAACACATCTCACGTAATTCAACTGGTTTAAGACCCAGCAGCCTGATGAATGCAAATGGATGTCCCCTATATGAGGCCCAGGAGTGAAGAGAATACAAGGTTCATGCTTAAGTTTCGGCATATTTGTAAGTGCTTTGCTCAATAAGGCTTTGCCCCAGCACATGCTTATTTCTGATTCAAGGGCCTAATCTATTTAGTGGACCTTTAGATAAAAGCAATAAAAACAACAGAGGCATCCCTTGCCCCTCTTCCCAAAGAACTCAAAAAAGATCTGATCATCTATATAAGAACAAGATTTATTTCAGCGGAATCAAAAGCAAAGCTTGTGAGAGCCTGTGTAACATCTGCCCAAGGCACTAAGCACACAGCCCTGGGCGCTGCTCCCTGGCCTTAAACCCTCACAAGATCAAACTTCACATATGTGGAGCTGGCTAAGTGTGGAACCACCATATTTGTGGCTTGGTCTCAATTTAATATGAGTATACTACAAATGTATAATTGTGAATCCTCATAATTTCTACAGTCTCTTCCCCAAACACTTATTTGGTTTTGTTTTGTGTTGTTTGTCCTGTTGTTTTGGGTTTCTTTTGCCCAAGGGGGCAGGGAGGATGTTAGCATTTGTTGTTTCTTTCATGTCTCAACTCCATCTCTTTGGGGCATAAGTACACTGTCCCCTTTAACTATTTGGGGTATTATAGCCCAAGTCTGGGCTACCTACCAGAACAGACTCTGGTGATGTTGCAGCACAAACAGCAGGTACCAGCATAGGTGTGCTATGATTTACTCATTACCTAATCTTAGAATCATAGGATTTTTTAGGCTGGTAAAAAGACCCTTAAGATCATAGAGTCCAACCATTAACTCAGCATTGCCAAGTCCACAGCTAAACTGTGTCCCTAAGGGCCACATCCACACATCTTTTAAGTACCTCCAGGGTTCATGACTCCATTGTTAGTGACTCCTCCAGTCAGCATCAAGAAAGGGACTGACCTCCAAGGCCTGAGGTGTGAATCTTTTGTGGGTCTGTAGGGGGCTGTTGGAGCCAGGAGTACTTGTGGGGTTAATTTTGCAAGGGTTTCTCTTTCTAGGCCATGGGAATACAAGCCCAGCTGCAAAACATGTCTGAAGGAGTCAGAAAGTGATGCAACTTTCCCTCTGTTCCGTGGATCTGGAGCATGAGCATAAACCAGCTCCTCTGTTTCCACAGAGCACTACTCTGATCCCATATAGCCAAGCTCATGCTTGGCAAGGAGGGGACAACTCAAACCTTTTTGCATCTGGAAAAACACCATCCTGCTCTCCACGCACGGGAGGAAGTAAGGGGAAATAACAATCTGCTCCTCACTATCAGTTAGCCCTTATAAACAGCAGCCTGGATGACAAACTTCTCCAGGTCTTTCGTCATAGTTGTCAACCAAGAAAAGACAAATGTCCTGCTGCTGAGATCCTGAGGAGCTTTGCCTGGAGAGGATGAACATGTTACCTCTTGGGTTTGCCTTCCTCAAAGAGAAAAATATGTGGTGCTGGTTGGGGGAGCAGCCAGATCTGGAAAACCATGTGCTGGTTTTGGCTCACTGAAGAAAGCCAGCATCTGGTTCAGCTCTGTTTCAAAATTAAAATTTCTTAAATGGAGCCAAATATTTCAATAATACTTATAATTTTGTTTCCTGAATATTAACTATGGTATATGGTAAAATGACTGCTGTACCTGCAATAAAGGCCTTTTAGGGCTTGTGAGCTGCTCAGTCTCTCTCTCAGCGTTTACACAGTTATGCAAGCCAACTATTCACTGCATGGCACACAGTTTCAGCTACACATTCATTGCTCAATTAAAAGTACTGCTTTTAAAAGAGCAATAGGTTCTGGTTTGTGTTGTTTTTTTTTTAGTAACTGCCATAGTAACCTCCATACTAAAATGCTGAGTGCTAAGAAGTAATAAAAATTTATGAAATGCATGCAAATTCAATAAAATATTAGTTAAAAATTCATGATATGGTATGTCATTTTGTGTCAGGATGCACACAAACACTGTTCAGAGGTATTCGGGGGCTGGGAGAAAATAACTCTAACATACTTTGTGGAGACAATATTCAATGCCAGTTTCCACTAATTATCTGGCATTCTCTTTTTTTCAAGTGGGTGGGAGCTTTGTGAAAACTTTTCAGGCTTCTCTCATGAACACACTAAGTTTGAAGCTACCTGAATTTCTCTGAAGGGTGTGGTACGTGTGTAGTGTTTGGAAAGCGAATAGAAGACTCAGTGGGATCCTGGTGTTTATCTCACAGAGGGCATGTCAGGCAATCATCTCCAGAACATCTCCAAGATCCCCTTTCCCTCGGCAGTGCCAGAAAAGTATGGTTAGCCTAAGTGATCCTGATAATAAGACCAGGTCTCAAAGCAGTTTACCTCAGAACAAGGAAATTTTGTGATTTTGCCACTTACAAATCAGAAACTGAGAGGCGCACAGGTCAGATTTATTTTTTTTTTTAAATATGGAACTATGAAATAAAAATCCAATGGTTAGGTTGACTACTTTCATACCTCTCTAAATCACCTGTGGTGCAGCGTGATGGCAGGCCTTTCACTCCTCAGAGATCATCCTAGGCACAGGGCTGTTGATGGCAACAACAGAAAATAGAGGAGGGAAGTTCCTACCAGGTTTGTCTCCAGAGAGGATTGTCCTGGCTGAAGCCCCCAGCTTCAGAAGTAACATCCCATGGCAGAAGCCCATAGGGAGGCAGATGTCTCTCACTGGCTGTGAAGAAATGCCCTCACCGAACAGCAGCTCTGCCACACCTTCCTTCCCCAAATTTACCTCTCACTAGCTTGGGCAATGCTCTTCTAAATTTTCTGAGTTCTCTGACTCCCATTCATAGGTTCCTTGTTGTCCCAACTCCTCTCAACCATCCGTGGGTGGTTTATCCAGGTGGCTGATAAACCATGGATGTTGGGATGCAGAACCTGCTCAGATCTAGCCAAGTTTATCGACTCTTCTGTAGTATTGCTCTGCTGCTGTTTGGGCCAGCTGGGATTCAAGAAAGGAGCAAGTCACCTCTGTACCAGGGTAAGACCAACTTTAGGTACCTGGATATGCATGGAGCCAGACAGGCTCACCCTGCTTTGCCTTCCCTGCTGTGGGGACAAGTGGGGTGCAATTGGATGGGCATACACAGGCTTTCCTGCATGGAAATAGGATCATGCCTGAGACAAGCTGCTCTGAGACTGGCTGGTCCAAGCGAATCCTGAGGAGCTACTGGGATGTCTTGGTGCTGGGATCCCAGTGCTTTTTGCTGTGCCTGCGTTGATTTTGTTCACCATGCACTTACATTTGCAAATCCTGCATGCACTGACCAAAGCTGCAGAGCAAATCTGTGGCACAGCCTGAATTCAGGTCATCTGCCCCACTGCCTGAGTAAAATGGGTGAGAATCTCACACAGCATCTGGGAGCTCTGTGGGGCTCCCCATAGGGTGCACTGGCATGGGATTCAGCTGGAAGTGTTGCTGTTGCTATATTGTAAATATAATTTGAAAATTTTAGGAAAAAATTATTTTTAACTCTCATTTGCTCTCAGTTCTCCCATTTCCTATATTTTATTTCTCTTTAAAGGACAGGAAACGTACATTGATCCCAGAGCAAAATACCAATTTAAACTATCAGACTCAGACATGCAGGCCGGAGCAGATGCTGACTACTCATAGAGCAATTGCATCTGGATACATTTAATATTATGTCCTCACATTTTTACGCTCAGTTTTTACGCTTGTCAGCAGGTTACTTATTTCCCAAATGTGGTATTTCTGGATTGGACCTGACAGTCGTGGCACAGTGCATGAAATCTACTTTGGGAGCATGGGGTGCTCAAGCCATGTGACCCACAAGTTAGCTTCATGGGGTGATACAAGAAAAAAAATATACACAAAATACAGGTATTTAACACCACACAGCCAGGGAAAGCATAGGTCTGTTTTTATCAATGAGTGTCTGGGCTGCCTTGTGTCAGGATAGCTTAGAAATTTTCTATTTCACCTCTGTGCCCAATGGTGACCTCAGTGTTTTCAAGAAGAACAGAACAAATAGCTGATAAAAAAAGGAGTTAAAGTAGCCTTACTGAACAAATAAATTGGCAAGTGTATCTAATAATTGCATGGGTTCAGCATTTTTCTGCGATAAATGAGTAAACTTTAAATGTATCTCTGAGATGTGCTATCACAGGCATTGCCATGGGCAAGTTTTATCCAATGATGAAACAGCAAGGCCTTGTGAGATAAAGATGATAGAAGGGGTACTATCAGGTGGCAGCTGGGTAATTACAACTCTCTATTTGGGCTCTGTAGTGATGCTGCATGTGATAAGTGGAGAATAATGAAGAAAAAGGAGTAGTGATAATACAGGAGCTAAATGGTAGAAAATAGCCTATCATAGCCCACAGCCCTCTGAGTGCCTATGGGGACTTTGAACTATCTTCTTCAGTTTTCAACCACAGAAAAAATACTCTCTCTTTCTTCTTCCTTTGCTAAATTTATGTCTGGTGGGACAAAAGGGAAAACTGAAAGGAAATCAAGGGTATGTGAAGAGAATATGACCTTTGCAAATAACACTGAAGGTCACTGTGTAATTATTCTAAAATAAAAGTATCCTGTAATCTTGTCTGTACCCACAAAAGATGTAAGACCATTTTTAATGTGATTCTGAACAATTTTGTTGGGGATCATGGTTTATGAAAGGTCAGCTAAAGTATTTCTAATTATATCTTGTCTAGCTCTTTGATCAGAAGAACACAAATGCCATTTGTTGTGATAGAGTCAAATTCTGATTAAAGAGAAAAACTGTCAAAAGACAAACTCATCACATGTAAACAAAAAATGCTATTTCCTGAGCAAAGATTGGCTTTTGTAGCTTTAAAACAAAAAAACAAAACAAAAACAAAAACCCCACAGGAGGAGAAAATACCCCGGAGCTGCTCACTGAAACTTTTACCCCAGTTTGTTCCTTTTTTATTTTTTCCCTACAGATAGTAATACCTACTACGGCTCCTGTTGAGCTTGGCACAATTTGCTAGCTATCTGAGTAACTCTCTGTAATTTTTTTATTCCCCTAGGTAAGACAATAACTCCGTGACACATCTTTCACTTAGGAGTCAGATACCCTAAATGCCAGTTACACTGGATGTGTCTTAACGTGGATATGATTTCGTGTGGATGTGATTTAGTTTATAAATCATACCATTATACAAGAGGGAGCTCTATGTAAAATATCTGCTACTTAAAAATAAGAATGATATTGTTTTGCCTTTTTTTTTTTTTTTTTTTTTTTTTTTTTTTTTTTTTTTTTAATACTTACCTAAACAGCTGAGTAAGAAGTGTATTGGGCATCATTCATGTATGTTCATGTCCTTTTTTTCTTAGGACACTGATTCTGCTTTACCACAGATCCAGTGTAATGGGGCACCTCACTACACAGAAGGTGATGTTGCATCAGCACACTGGCAGGATGCAGAGTGAGTCTCTGAGGAGCAGGAAGATTCAAAATGAGACTTTTTTTGGTATAGAAAACTGCGATGTTTATTAATCTAAACATTAGTGAGACTAGTAGTGAAAGCAAGGAAATTTTATATAGTGCCTGGATTTGGGAGAGTTGTAGTTTGTTGGTAAAACTGAGAAAAATCTTACTCAGTTTTATGGGGAAAAAATGAACTGAACTCTTGTTCTTATCATGACAGAACCTGACTGGAGCATTTATACATTTATACAAAAGCATTTATACATTACAGAAATAAATGACATGCAATAAAATATTTACAGCTGAACAGAATGATGAAACGCCACAACTGAATAAACAAGGAAATCCACATACAAGTGTTAAAAAAAAAGCTTTTTTAGAGTATATACCTGATTGCAATTACTTCTATTACATTATTAAATCATAACATCTGTTACAAATTTTAAGAAGTTCAGATTGTTACTATGTTTGGTGAGGCACTGAGATAACTCACACCAAGCCCAACCCTTCCTTTGATTTAAGATAAAGATCCTGGTAAAAAATAGATCACAAATCAGAAGTTCATGGTGGGAAGAATTATTAGGCCATCTTAGCAAAAGTAGTTTCTCATTACTGACTGACTCCTACTGCCTTGGAGTAAGGGAATTTTGTTCATATGCAAGCCACTTAGTACTTTGGCCATGTATGTTAAATGCAACTGTGACCACATGACTCTGCAGTGGTACCCAAATGGTGAGGTTCTCTAGGATGGGACTCAACTCACCTACTTTTACACACCTAAAAATTCATCATCTAAGTCTGAGTCAGCCACGCTGCTTTTTTTTAGACAATGGGGAGAAACTGGAACTTTAAAGAAAATTAAGTGACCTGTGTCAGACATCCACCTTAAGGAGGGATCAATTACCCTCTGGAAATACCTGTTTCTCCTGATGGAATACCCAGGGAGCCTGAGGTGACTGGCTTAGACATTTTACTTTTAGATAACTGAAGACAGGTAAAATGAATTTCATCTTGCCTTTAAAGGAGATTTGTGTCCAGTGAGATCAAAACAGATCTCTATATTTGGACATTTCTTTCATTTTAAATCATGCTAAGTGCTTTCCAAACCACAGGGATGAGTAACACTGTCATTCATCTTAGTCAGTTTGGCTTGCATTTCCCTCATTTTTGTCTGCACAAAGCTTACACAGAGGTTTTCAGGTGGCCGTGATGACTCAGGTGGTCCTCTGCTCCTTCTCCTAAACCCCATCCTCCGCTGATCATTTGTGTGGTCACACAGTGAAGCAGACCAGGACAGTGACCTGGCTGAAAATTGAGTAAGGAAAAAAACGTGGTTCTCTGTTCTGGCTGAAATGACCATACAATTGTGTTTGAAGTATGGAAGAAATACCAGAAAAGCAGTATTAGGGCTAGAGACTGCTTCCAAACAGCCTCCATTATTTGCCTTTCTGTCATCCATTTTTCTGGAGTCAACATTACAATCCTTACGAAGGCTTCATCATCTTGCCTGGATCCCCATAGTTTTCTCCTCATCACCCACACTGCTTTTCCTCTCTTGTCTATCCAGTAAAAACAATCCCTTAGGGTGATGTCCCTCACTCTATGCCTTCTGTAAGCTATCCTCTCACTTTGGGGGGCAGCAGAAAATAACTACAGAGGAATCAATGGTTGTTTGCCAGTCCTATGGTTCAGGCAGATATTTGTTGGCAAGATCCATCACTTCCCAAAACTGAAGATTCACAACTTTTTCTTTGCTTGTGATGATGATGCAGTTACTGTCTCTGCACTCACTCTGGCCATTTTGCTCTCCCATTGCCCTTCAGTAACCAGATCAAGTTCACAGTTCATAAACAAGTCTGTAAGCAAAAATGAGGGATCAAGCAGTGGCTGGGAGGAAAGAGAAGGATGGGAACTCCTTAAATGGATATACTAACTGCAGAATATATACTATCTGGCCCTGAAAATCCAGAGGTTTAAAGGAAAAACTGTCACATGGATTGAAGTTTGTATTGGTTAGGGAAACTCTTTGAGTAACCAGTTTTGAGGCTTAATATCAAATTGGGGCCCTGACATTGTTTGTTGAAATGGTATACAGAGCAAAACTTGGCACTTTCTTGACCTAGAAAGAAATTAGCATTTTATTTCAAATCAAAACTGCACTTACAAAGTGGATTTCCTAGCTGTCTTCACTCGTTGGATGGTGGTTCACTTGGTTCACATCACACATTGGCATTCATCAGCTGTATTCCTGTTGGGAAAAACCAGGAGGTGTTCTCCAGAAGTGCGCAGAAGTGTTCCCACTTCTTAGAGGCATTCAGTCCCAGGACTTGTGCTGCAGCTAATCCAGAATCACTGTCTCTGAAATGCACAGCGTGGATATGGGGTCCTCAAATCCAACTGTTTTACCCTATCAGACTGCTCCTACTGGTTCAAATTACTTTGCTATCAGAGATGTATCTTATTATTACCCAAAGTGATAAAAATAATTTCTCTGTTTCAAATTTGCCCTCCTGCCAAGACCTCAAAACAAAGTCAGAAACCAACTGCCCCTTTGTGGAGAGAAACTGACAGCAGAACCAGCTTTCGAGGCAGACAACCAAGACCCGCTAACAAGTTTTGTCTTTGTGGTCCCGATATGATCCCTGTCAAAAATCAGAAGTTTTCCCATGGCTGTTTGCAGTCTTAGACTGCTCTCTTACTCGCTGATTTCTAGCACCTTAGTTCATAAAATGTACATCCATGATACATCACTTTTATATCTGCATATAGCAGTTTATAGGTATGAAATCCTGTGCCTATACACTTGCTCTTTCCTGCTTCCTGACTTCTTTTCTTACCAGTCTCCTTTTACCTCCTGAAATTGCAAGACCTATCTCAGGGAAATGAAGCCAGAAATTTTCATAATTTTGAAGTGTATTCACACAGACAGGGAATAATCTGTTCTTCATGTCCCTGGTAGATAGGACAAGAATTGATGAGCTTAAATTTCTGCAAAGGGGATTTAGGATAGTCATTAGGAAAAACTTTCTCGTTAAGCCTTGGAACAGATTGCCTAGGGAAGATGAAGGATCTCTATCACTGGTGTTTTTTTCAAGAATAGGTTAGACAAGTGTCTGTCAGGAATATCACAGTTTATATTGCCTTGAGGGGGCAGAGTGAGTAGATGTCCTCTCAAAGCCCCTTCCAGCCTCTTTTTCCTGTGATCTTCCAAGGTATTGCGAATGCCTTGGAAGTGCATCTCAGTATTTCTAATACAATGTTTATCCAAGAATGAGATTTGAAAATTTCTAATCCTTCAGGACTACGGATCACTTAGAAGTATGTGTCTTATCCATTGGTGCTTGACACTAGTGCAGACACTGGTGGTCAACTACTGACTTCGTTTGGAACACTGTCTATAACATTTTGTCTTATTCCCAATTTTCCTCATGAAGTGTCATCTGTATTTGTAAATCAGACATATCATTGAACCTGGATTTCAAATGTTAGTCAAGATGAAAAACCTGTTGACAACACTATTAAGACCAACTAGCTTACTTATACCGCCAAGTTTTGAAACCTTCCTTTTGGTCAACAGAAATACCTTGTCAGCCAGTGGATCCCTAAAACTAATGAACTTGAAATATCAAAACATATTTTCCAATTAAATACTGAAGAGTACTGGGTGACATAAGGATTTTACACCTGAGATGATCACGCTAACTGCAGACAGAATGATGTTCATCAACAACACAAAGCCCTGTAACACCATAAAAACCAGATGTGTTTGGTTTTGTACATTGATGTTGTGTCAGGATACAGTGGTCTCCTTTTATTAATTTCTGGTTGTTGGTGCAACAGGGTTCTTCCTTCGTACTTCTCCCTCCCTCTTATTTCCTTCCTGACTACCATTCCTTGACTGACTATTTGGTCTTACACGAGTTCGTGCCCAGGAACTCAACAGCAGTCTGGTTTGGGAGGTGAGAAAAGCTGTCCAAAGCTGCCTGCTGAGAATGCAGTGTAGTGCTGGAACTACAGAGGTGCATGGCACTCCCACACAGCACTAATGGAGCAGTTAACCAAAAGCCACCATCCATGTTTTGTGTCCAACTCTGACACCTCACTGAATTCATGGGTTTCTCCCAAGTCAAAGCTTCTGGTTACGCTACGCTGTGTGATAGGATAGGACTCAATGAGGAGAGCTGCTCTCCACATCTCTGAGAGATATCTCCTATCTTGTTTGAAAGCTGATATTACCCTCCAACTTTGCTGGAGCTATTTTAGTTAAGCTATAACAACTCAATTGGCTAAATCCTTACTAGTGATATGTAGTTAGAGATCACCCAGAGCTGATACTGGAATTGCGGATCTTGTCCTTAAGAAACTTTAAGATCTTTTTTATTTTCTCAGAAATATCAATGGAAAATATAATAAAGCCAAGGATGGGTAGGGACTGATTTGTCAGCAATGACATCAATTCAAATGTGCATCAAAATGCGGTGGCCTGACAGAGATGAATGACAAAAAAAACAGCCCTCCCACAAAACCTCACATTCTTGCTGTACAACAGGCAATTATTTTGCTTAATCAAATTTTCAACTAAGCTGCCTACAGTGTCAGGAAGCCACAAAGTCATTTAATAGACAGCAGTTTGAATGGGCTGGAAAGGAAATATTTTAGCTGAACTGATCCTGATGGGATTTCCCAAGCTCAAGAAAATCTCACATTAAGGACATTGTGGGGAGGAAATAACCTGGCTTTAGAAGGACCAAATTTGCAATTTTTTTACCCCCTAGATTTGAAATCACGTGATATTGATTGTTTATGCAATGAACTCATTTTACATATTTACAAATACATAAAGCTTCTGTAATTGCTCTCTATAAATGGATTTCCTCTATTACATTAAGGTCCAAGTCTGAGGAACCTCTCTGATTCTGATTTTCTCAGAAATGTTCCTCTGTGTTGGACAGAAGGGAATAGACATGTCCATCACATGATATGGTAAAGAGTACTTGAATTATACATATTTTGGAAGTGTAGACATGAAAGCAAATGAATCATCTCACAAAAAAACTGCTTCCAAAATCCTGCACTGCAGTAGATATTCAGTCCAGGAACAATGATTCCGAGAGCAGTTCAGGTTTCTAAACATAAAGCCATTTTTAGTTCCTGTTTGCTATACTGCTCAGCCTCCAGCTCTGCCCTGTCAGACTGTGGACCTCCTGTAGGTCCTGCCTGCATCTGCCAGCCCCATGTAGACATTTTGCATACCTTCAGATGTTTACAGTGGTAGTAGATGCTTATATTTAGGCTTGTGAATTGCACCCCTCATTTGTATGTGCTCCAGTTTCCTATCTGTAAAATGACAAAATAAGCCTTGCTTTTTCCCATCTTCAGACAGTGCCAGCATTTGTGGAGCTGTCATGAGTATTGACAGGTCTGAGAATGCCAAAGACATTTCCAGTGCAAAAACCTCATGGATTAGGTTTAAATCTGTGCACAAAACTTATGAGATCCTTACAGGCAGCAGCCTTCTGCCTGTCTGCTTTTTGAGGGTGGCTAATTCCTTCCCCTGACACATTTTCATAGGCTGATCATGGGCCACATGGTCTGGCCCTGCACTCTGGCAAACCGCGACGACATCTCTTCTAGAGTAGCTGCAAACCCTCCGTTTGGAGGGCTTTTCCCTATTACATGTATGCACAGGAATGCCTGCAGCATGGCCTTAGCTAGAGCCTCTCATGATTCTGTAAGAGGACTAAATTCTACCACCTTCCACTCATTAATTGCTCAATGAAGAGATTTGTGTAGAATAACGTAGTTTGCCAGTAATACAAAGCTACTTGACATCCAAACAAAAATTCTGCTAACAGACTATTTTCTTGTTCTGTAAAGATTTTCAATGAGGTATCTGTCATTTTAAAAAGTCAATCTTTTCCTTATTTA